ATTCCCCTTTTTAGAGCTAATAAATAATAATAAACGTTACATCAGCACTAGCCGGATGGAAGTAAAGGCTGGATCTGCCACTTTAGGTATCAGGTCAGCGCTGTTAGAAATCATCTTTCGGTCTTGGGGAAAGACGGGTGGACTGGGTGACATGGTCCCAGTGCTACGGTACATGGAGGGTGCAGGCTTAGGGTGCTTTCGGATGGAGACTGAATGATGATCGTGATTGCCCTCATTAACTGCATCAACTGTGAAATTTGAACTGTTTAGACAGAGGACGTAATTAATAAAGTCCACTAAGGGCCTATTACAATCAACAGAAGAAAGAACTGACATAAGTCATTTTAATAACTTCAGTCCCATCCAAGAACTCCTCCACATACCACTCCAGAGATCATCCGTGCTGTTGGTGAGGAGGTAATCTTCAGCTCGGTTTATTAAATCCTGGTTTTGTTCCTGCATTCTCTTATGGGTTTGTGGGTGCAATGAAGCACACAATGAAGAAGATCTTTAGGAAGATTTTTTAATATCACTCAAAAGATGAAACAGGAGAAAATACAACCACTATAACACAAACAAACAGAATCAATGCAGGACAAAGGGGAACTGGAAACTGAGGACTTAAAAACAAAGCAGACATGGGCCGAAACCAATGAGGCACACCAGAACAGAACGTTCTAAATAATCAGTAACCAAAGAAACAAATAAGCAGGGAATGAAGAAGAGCTGAACTAATTAACAGGTTAGAAAATGGAGCATGAAACCTGAAAACAGAAAAGACATGAAAACTGATCAAAAACTTTAAACAAACTGAAAATGTGACAACTTTTTTATTACCAATAAATGTGTACTTTTTCCTTGTTTGTTTGCTCAGCAATTTCTGAGCAATTTCTACCCACTAACATATTTTAGAGCTTATTTCCATCTATACATCCGTATATCCAGGCTTTCCAATACTGTGGGAGCCCTGGATCACAAATAAAAATGACAGGTTTTGAGGGAACTAATTATATAAACAAATTCAGCTTGAATCTTGATTTTTTTTTTTAAGTCTTAATGCTTGTTTTGTCTTATATAAATGATTTTGAGGCCCATTTGGACATTTGAGGCCCCTGCTTGAGAACTATTGTGTAAGTAGGCTGCTAATATTATGCCCCGCATGCAATTGTTATGGTTGGGATTTTCTTACATACTGTATTTATGCATTTACTCATGGTTGGTATATTTATATTGAAAAAGGGTTTCTATATTTCTGTAATTTTGCAATCCTTTTTCCATATATTTTAGGTTACCAGTCACGTCTGGTCTTCTGTACCTTTGATGATGAAGCGTATTCTGATTACCTGTGTGCTTCCTTCCCTCGACCCCTCAGTAATCGCACATGCAATGAACAGCAGTGCCCACAAACCCGCAGGTACAGCATATTCAGCTCAAAGCCAGCTGTAGTGTGTTTGGTGCATGAACACCTGGAATGTCTCTTTACAGTGTTTATTTAATATCATAAACCTATTTCTGCCCACAAATGTGTTTTAATGTTGTGTTATAAATTGCGGTTGCTGTCTGACTTGTGGAGAACCGCTGGGTCTCACAGCTTTGGCTGTACTGTTCCTGTTCTGTAAGGATGGCGTATGTGTACGAGCCACGCTTGTGGAGGCCCATGGAAGCACCACGAGTCTATGTACAAGTGTACAGGTAACAGCCTTCAGAGGCTGATATACTGCAGAGCATGACCTCAAACACACATTCGTGTCCAGACTATGCAACCTCTCAGGAATCTCACATGTTTCATGTGCCTCTGGACTACATTATGAGATTTTCGAAAGAATTTGAAGCGTCTGTGTGTAACTGATTTCCCAGTACGCACAGCACCAGATTATATAAAAAACAGTCCATCAGTATAACAGTGTCTTTATGACCTCTATGGCCTTTGAGAATGAGCTGGGTAGTAAATGATGACATGTAATTTAGATTACACAGATTCCAAAAATCTTTACTCGTAATTAGATTATATTTTGTTTTAAAATGCTCATAATCAGATTACACTTATTACTTTTTAATTACATGATTACTCACTCAGTGACAGTAAATTATTCATAATTTAGTTATTCTCCTTAATTCCTTTTTTCTCTTAAATTTTGCTTTCTAAAATAATTCAATATGTGATGGTCATTTAAATGCCATGTAAATTAATTTGCAGTCCATACATCTGGATTTGGGGACAAACGCACATCTCAGTACCATGAGATTATGAGAGCATAAGATTAATAATTGTGCCAGTTACTAAACTAATCTGACGATAACAATATTTCAAACCTGGATGACTTTGGTCATTGCTGTTTTCATGTTTATTAATGTTTGTTCAAGTGATGCAGACATTCCCAAAAAATGTTGTCAGTCAAACCCCTCTGTCCTACAATACAGCTTGAAGAGATCTACAGTTAATATTTAATTTATTTAACAATGCATTTGCATCAAAAAGTAATCCAGTAATGTAGTCAGAATACATTACCTAAAATGAGTAATCTAGATTACATTACCAACTACAGTTTATATGTAATTTGCAATCAGTAAAATATTATGTATCACTATAACAAAGAGTGAAAAATTTAAGGGGGTCTGAATACTTTCCGTACCCACTGTATGTATGTGTGTATGTGTGTGTATATATATATATGTATGTATATACAGGTGCATCTCAATAAATTAGAATGTCGTGGAAAAGTTGTTGGAAAACCCACCAGTTCACTATATCAACAAATTAGAATACTTCATAAGACCAATAAAAAAAACATTGTGAACATTGTTCACATCATTAATATGTGTTTGAGTTCAGTTCGCACCAGTGTTTTACATGTTTATATTTTGTGAGCGCTTGTTCCTTCACATGTGAAGATGAACCAAGTCCCAGGGCAACTGTTCAGCTCAGAGCTTCACTCGTCTCTTTGAGCCTGTCTCGTGTGTCAGAAGAGGTTTTTCTCTTTTGCTTTATAGACACTGCAGTAGTTTATAGTTGCAGTAGTTTCACCTCAGTAAATATTTCACTGATTCCTGCCATTCACATACAGTATATGAACCGTAGAGCTCTGAGCTGAGCTGCTGTCTGTGTTCTAGGTATGTTGTTGTGTGTTATAGTTTTGCGGGCACTATAGATCTATTTTACATGTATAGATTTTATATACATGATGGGCCTGATTTACTAAGATCCCAAATAGAGAGTATCAATTAGCTTATGCTGTAGTAGTATACGTATTATGTGTCCTTTGTAGATTAATAATCGTGCAGGTTAGACACATTATATAAATTAAACCTTTTTACCAAATATTGCTCACAGCCGAATGCCATATTACTTGATTTCATATAATCAGCATATTAGAACGATTTCTGGAGGATCATGTGACACTAAAGACTGGAGTAACGATACTGAAAATTCAGCTTTGATCACAGGAATAAATTACATTTAACAATACATTCGCATAAAAAAACAGTTATTTGATATCGTAGTAATATTTCATAGTTTTTACTGTTTTTAAGAGAAATGAAAATTAATATGACAATCCTTAGTTGTGTGTGTAATCCTTATATTCAGGGATGGGCAGTATTTCAAATACATGTATACATGAAATTTTGTATTTAAATACCTTTGGAAAAAGTCAAATGTATTTTGTATTTAAATACATTTAATCTTAGTATTTTTGTATACTTGTTGATACAGGAAATCAGCAGTCTAATAAAGAGGTTGATTGGCAAAAAGTATCATATATATTTTGAAACTACAAAAATACTCAGATTAAATGTATTTAAATACAAAATAGTATTTATGGTATAAATAGTATACATGTATTTGAAATACTGCCCATCCCTGCTTATATTGCATTAGTAGATCAGCAGTTTTTACATGCAAACCTGTAGTAAATCATGGCCTACATGTATGATATAGATGTTTTGTTGAGTCCACTGTCTGGGTGTCTCCGGTCTAATGTGTTCTTTTGATTTAGTTTGCCTTTTATCTGAGTGTATTTGCGTGTGAAGTAGAAAGCAGCGTTTGCTCTGTTAAAATAAGTCTTTCACTTGTCGTAGCAGTACCCCTGGGATGTTCTTCTGATGTTCATGTACAGAAACCTGAAACTGTCCTGGTCCCTGAGCAGATCGACCTGCCAGAGAACATGTGCTTTTGCTTTTTGCTGTGGGAGAGACCGAATTCTTTTGTCCCCCCGTGACTGATATCTTCATAATTGTTCTCTCATCTTTAGGTTTCTGGGAGCACCTGCTCAGCTTTGACAGGCCAAGTGTTTCTGCTGAACACTTGCTTTGTCCTTGTCATTTTCCAGAATGCAAAATCTTTATATGTTTGTTTAATGTAGGTGTAGGCGTGTATTTGTTGTCTTTTCTCTCAAATATTCTTGGTTAAATGCAATTTCTGTGGCATGCTATCAGTTACCGCTGTAAATCATTCTGACTCGTCCCATCAGTTGTGGAAACAATCGAAAATGTGTACAGTTGCTGTGCTTAAAACAGAATCCAATAGACTGTGAATAAATGTTTAAAATATGCTATTAAAATAAATAAATGTAAAATAACTAACAAACCTTATTACTCGGTTATTTTTGCTCTCAGTATCTGTGGATTCCAGAATGGGACATTTAACATAAAGTGCGGTTTACATGCAGCAAATTATACAGAAATTATGCTTACACTGTATTATATGTGACCCTGGACCACAAAACCAGTCATAAGGGTCATCTGAAAGCTGAATAAATAAGCTTTCCATTGATGTATGGTTTGTTAGGATAGGCTGATATTTGGCTGAGATACAACTATTTGAAAATCTGGAATCTGAGGGTGCAAAAAAATCTAAATATTAAGAAAATCGCCTTTAAAGTTGTCCAAATGAATTTCTTAGCAATGCATATTACTAATCACATTACGTTTTGATATATTTACAGTAGGGAATTTACTAAATATCTTCATGGAACATGATCTTTACTTAATATCCTAATGATTTTTGGCATAAAAGAAAAATCAATAATTTTGACACAATGTATTTTTAGCTATTGCTACAAATATACCCCAGCGACTTAACACTGCTTTTGTGCTCCAGGGTCACATATTATGTTCTGTATTATATATAGACTATAATGCATAAACAGAAGTTCATCTGCTAGAAAAGTAGTCCCTCCTCAAAAGGAGTGAATTATGCCTTGGTTGCTTGCCATTGAAAGAGCAAAACTGAAAGATGTGTCACAATATTTTTGTGCTAACAGATCTTAAATTGTATTTAACCTAGAACATTTTCATACTCATGAATGTAAATGACCCAAAGCGTGCAGTTTCTTTGGGTTAGACTGGCACTGTGGAAGCTGGTATTGAGTAGGTCGGCTAAATGCATCCTTTAAATGCTATAACTCACTGTCATTATGCTTTTTTCTGCTGATGTGTGTGTTCGTGTGTCAGCTGGGTGACTGGGGAGTGGAGCCCGTGTCCGGTGACCTGCGGCGGGGGTCTTCAGGTGAGGAGAGTTGAGTGTATGTCTCACGACTCGGCAGGATCGCGAGTGGTGGAGGATTCCCAGTGTGCTTCCTACGCACCCAGACCGCTCAACCAACAGAACTGTAACATGCAGAAATGCGCTCAATACAGGGTTTCCAGCTGGAGCCAGGTAGATAAACTACACTTTATGAAACATTTTATTTAAAAAATTCAGATAAAATTGTAAGAACGTTTTTTGTGTGAATCTCTCAAAACCTGTCCACCCTAAAATTAAATTGAACTTAATAGGCCAAAATGAAGCATATTTTTGCATTGTCATATTATTTTCACGACAAGTAAGCATTCTAAATAAATCTTCTGATTCTGAAAGTAATTCTTAATACTGTAATGTTAAAAAAATTATTATAAATTGTAAAGTGTTTATACTTCACATTTGGGTGCTATTTGTTGTATGCTGGTTTAAATACAGATGCTGTAATTTATTTATATATTTATACTGAATAACACAGTAATGAAGAGTTATGGAATTATAGTAAAAAATACAAAAGTATAAAAGTAAAACATTACACTTTACTACAAAGTTCCATTATATACATTAGTTAACATGACTAACGATGAAAAATAGTAATTTAGTAATGTTAGTTAAGGATAATGTCAACATTTACTAATGCATTGTTAAAACCAGAAGTTGAATCTTTTAATATTATTTAATTGGCCTGAGCAGACATGAACTGAATGACATGAAATGAATATTATTGTTGAATAATAAATAACAAAGATAAATAAATGCTAATAAAAACTGTAACAAATGTAGTACACATTGTTAATATTAGTTAACGCATTAACTTATGATAACTAGTGGGACCTTATTGTAAAGTGTCACCATAACATTTTGTAGAAAATGTACTTAATTGTCATTCAAATTAATGTCAAAACATCTTATTGGTTCTTAAATAGGCCTTTTTTGTGTAAAATATAATTAATTTTTATTTTGGAGATGTGTCAGTCTTTTAAACTTTTTTAAAATTCTTATTGGATTATACTTTTATTTTGTTTTAAAGGGGTCATATGATGCGATTTCATTTTTTCCTTTCTCTTTGGAGTGTTACAAGCTCTTGGTGCATAAAGAAGATCTGTAAAGTTGCAAATCCAAAGAGATATTCTTTATAAAAGTTAAGAGTCAGCCACGCCTACCTAAAACGGCTCGTTCTAACACACCCCCACATGTCTACCTCACTATGTGGGAAGATTTGCATAACGGTGCCCAAATTTTCACGCAAAGAAAGAAGGCGTAACTTTTATTAGCACTGTAGTATTGTAGCCTGTTTTTTGAACCTTAAACCGCATAAACACATTTCATTACACCAAATACACAAAATACTGTTCTTTTTAGCAACATCATATGACCCCTTTAAAAGCTTTACTTTATCTTTAATTATAAAGTTATTTGTTTCTATTTTTAAATAGAAAAAAAAACATTTATATATATTATAATTGATTATATATTGCAGTGGATTCCTGTATGAATTCAAACCTTTTAATGTCTGTAGTGCTCTGTGACGTGCGGCTCTGGGAAACAGACGCGAGATGCGGTGTGTGTGGGTGCAGACGGAGCTTCTCTGGAGGACTACGCATGTGGGACCCAACAGAACCCGCCCAAGACACAGGCCTGTGAGATGCCCGTCTGCAGGAGCCCCATTGGTTGGCATATAGGAGACTGGGGCCTAGTAAGGAAGAATCCACACCTCATTTACAGAGAAGCCTTTGGATAAGCATGCACCCTCCCTCTTGATTAAATTTATGCATTTAGCAGAATTACATTTATGCATTTAGCAGACGCTTTTATCCAAAGCGACTTACAGTGCATTCAGGCTATACAGTTTTTACCAGTATGTGTGTTCCCTGGGAATCGAACCCACGATCTTTTGCGCTGCTAATGCAATGCTCTAAATATGTCATAAGCTTACCTGCTCATAAACTCTCTCTCAAGTGCTCTAAGAGCTGTGGCTCGGGGCTGCGGGAACGGCAGGTGATCTGTTCAGACAGACAGAGAAACCTGTACAGGGTAGAGGAGTGCCAGTCCAAACCCAAACCTCTTACCGTGGAAAGATGCAACGTCCAGCCTTGCTACACGCCTCAGGGTACACACGATTTTTTTTTAGTTTTTTTATATGCTCCTCACACTTCCATTCATGGTAACAGCTTTTTTCATAATTATGTGTGCACATATTCTACACATGAATGCATATTTTTCACATTTGATGTATGATCTCAAAAAATGTTTATTACAAAACTATTTCAATGGGTTTGATCCAGTTTATTTATGAAGTTTCTTTCTTTTTCTTATATTGGTATGAGCAGAGGTGCCCAGCATGCAGGACCCAACAGGTCATGATAACACCATTCATGGCTTCCTGCCGTATATCGAGGATCCCGCATTAGGTTTGTTTCTAAACATAGTTGTCCATCCATCCATCTTTCCATCCATACACACATGCTGTATGTAAGGCTGATCTTAGTCAGATCCCAGGTTCAATTCTTAACAAGCTTAACCAGCTTTGTCTAGAGCAGTTTGACCAGAATCAAACCAGCATAAACTAGCTAAGACTAGCTTGGAAATATATGCTGGTTAAAGATGGTCTTTGTGTGCAGTTCCTGGGTGCACAAACAAACATCTGAGACTAGTTACCTGGATCTAAACAAAAATACAAAGCATTAACAACTTTTAATGGACTGTAGACTATGAGGGATTATGTTTTGCTGTATAGTTTTGTAGGACTAGAAAAAAATAACACATTAATTTCTACTTTTCATTTGGATTGTTTAACAATAAATAATATCCCTTATTGCCAAAAGTTGTTCATAAATGCCTATTATGTTAAAAATCGTGGCTCTCAAATATATTATTGAATGGCCATAATTATTAATTTTATCCTGAAGAAAAATCTATTTAATAGAGGTTTCAACATCAATATTAGTATCAAAATCTGTGACACTGCTCTGGTTCATAATTTCAAAGTACATATAATTGTAATACATTGCTTAGGTTTTTCCATCGTAATAACTGCTACAAAGGTTGTTTTGACATTACAGGATACTTAACCAATTTAATTGGATCTAAGACAGTTAAAGAATAACATAGTCAGGTGACCCATAAATGTTATGCTTTCTGTTTTGTGAAGAAGCTCCCTGTCTGAAACATTCATTAAGGTACTTGTTATTTTTTATTGTCTAACACAACAGAAACTCCTCAAAACAATGCTGTCCACAAACCTCATGGCACGCCTCTCACCCCTCACTGTAGCCAGACCTACTATGGCTGCTGTCCTGATGGAAGTACCCCAGCCAGTGGACCACAGAGCCAAGGCTGTCCCCAGGACCAAGGCCTACCATCATCGTGCACATGGAGCAGGTACACATGGACATGGTTGAGTTAATCACAGAAACAAATTTTATTTGTGGCACAATGCATAATTTCTTTCTTACAGTATAGCTGTAAGTTACCAGAAATGTAATGCAAATGTACTTCTCTCAGGTACGGCTGTTGTCATGATGGTGTGACCATAGCCCAAGGTCCCAACAAGGAGGGCTGTTCAGATTCCTGGCCACACTGGTCTCCAGCAGTGAGTGTTTCATTTGCACATATCAAATTGGGTTGGAATGCTCCAGAACAGTGTTTCAGCAGCTTAATACAGTCCATGTTGTTTCCATTTAACAAGTGTACTCAGAAGCACCTTCAGATGTCATTACAATAAGCACCTACCACACTCCTACTCTTTGTGAAATCAACTCAACTCAAAGTCATACTATATAAAGCACTTTCAAATGTACCTAGGTGCTGTGCATATCAAAATTATTTTTTGTAAAACAAAAAATTACATAAAACATTCGATAAAAGACCATACTAAAAACAACCATCCAAATCATCATACTCAAAAGACAAACATATTCAAACGTCAATGAAAATAAATATATCGTAAGACGGATTTTAAAACATCAGTTGAGCCTTCATCTTCAATGGTGAACCATTCCAGTCTTAGAGCTGCCACAGAAAAAGTGTGATTTTTTTTTTTTTTGCACTTTAAGATCAAGGAGCATAATACAGAGCTTGTCTGATGAGCAAAGATATATTAGAGGTTTATAGGAAGTAATTTCTCAAAATAAATGCAAACAAATTACACAAAACCCTGCAACACATTATAATGACATGTTTTCCCAGTATTCCCCAGAAAATAGTACGGTCTCTCATCTCTCTCCCAGTGAGTGAGAGTTAGTAACTATAAAACATGCACTCAAGATGGAAGGATTCAGAGAAACATGACAGACACATTTCACTCACACTCATGAGTTCGACTCTATGGAGGGAGACTGGAAGCCTGAACAATAGACTGAGGTCCTTGATAATAGGGAATGGCACAGTTAACTGTCGTGCCAACTTACAAGCTGGCGGGTCTTTGGTGGAGAGCCACACAGATTGTTCATTTCCCCCTCTTAGCCCCACTTGGCCGCCAGCAAGGAGTCAATGAAGTTGCCCTCGGCCCCAAAGTCCACAAGGACTGAGCATCGGAAACAGGATTGGTCTCACTGTAGGAATGCAGGGAGGGGAGTGTGAACACCACAAAGAATTAAATGACAATCATATTGCCTGCGTGGTCTTGGGCACAGGAGCAGGTTCAGTAAAGAGCTTGAGGTACTCTTTGAGAGGCCTATGTTGAGCACACAGCCAGCCATCCTGATGACAAGATTCTCTAGATTAGGGCTCCCCCTGCCCCAGTTAACACACCTGGATGAGCTAATCAAGGTCTTCGAGATCACTACAAACTTCCAGGCAGGTACATTAGAGCTAAACTCTGCAGGAAGTTGGCCATTCAGAAGCAGGACTAGACAACCCTGCTCCAGATCATCACATTGCACCGAAAGGTCATAGGTGTAAACCTCTTCCAGAATGTCATCTGCAAGATGTGGTCCTACTGAGCTCCCACATCTCACCCTCAGGAAACCTTCAGGGTACAAATTCAGTGGCGTAATGTGAAACTAATCAATGCAGATGGAGTGAAACTACATAATATACAAACTACTGGTCAAAGAGCTTCTTTATCAAGATCATGTCTACAAATAACTTTGGCAGTGCAGAAAGGAAACATGGCCTCCTACAAGGACAAGTCCCATGAAAAGGCATCACTACGGCGTCCTTGGAAAAGAAGTTGGCTTCCATTTAAAAATGTTTGTCTACTCTGAATCTTATTGCTCCGTTAAAACCCAAACGTATTGTTACTAAACCCCAGCCATGGCTTAATGATTCAACTTGTTTGCTTAGAAAGGCTTGCAGAGGGAAAATGGTGCAAGGATAAGTTACAGGTCTCAGATGAAATGTGGAGAGATTATATGTGTATCAGTGAGCTGTTAAGGCCACCAAGTCCAAATATCTATCTGAGTTTATTGGTGACAATTTACACAGACCTAAGACCCTCTTCTCTGTAATTGATTCTGAGCTCAGTCCCCGTCAACATTTATCAACATTTATCCTGATGCTTCCGTATCACTGTGTGAACAATTCTGTACATTCCTTAATGAGAAAACCATTCAATTAAGATCTAACCTGCCCTTGGGGAATTCTGTTTAACCTGAGAGATCAAGTGGCCCGATGCTGTGGAGCGATTTTCAGCCTGTTTCTTTTGAATCCTGTATAGGCATTGTTGAACGTCTAAGATCAACTTCATCTTCTCAAGATGTCATTCCATCTAGATTTCAAAAACAGATTTTCAATACTATTGGACATGATCTTTGAACTATTTTTAATACTAGTCTAATTACTGGGGTTGTTCCTGACTGCCTAAAAACAGCTACAGTAACTCCTTTATTAAAAAGGCCCAATCTTGATTCTTAGAATTGTAATAATTTTAGGCCTATATCAAACTTCCCATTTCTTTCTAAGATTCTTGAGAAAGTTGTGTTGACCCAGCTGCAGTCCTATTTGATGTCAAATAATATTTTTGAAAAATTCCAGTCGGGTTTTTAAGTCTCAACACAGCACGGAAACTGCGCTTTTAAAAGTTGATATTTTACTAGAAACAGATAAAGGGAATGCTGTGGCTTTGGTGCTTTTAGACTTAAGCTCTGCATTTGATATGTTTGACCACAACAACTTGATTTCCAGGTTGAAGAGCTGTGTTGTGTTACAGGGCAAGGTGTTGAAATGGTTTCAATCTTTTTTTAACAAACAGACGTTTTAGTGTTTCCGTTGACCAACATAGTTTGTCCTCACGCCCACTTGCTTGTGGGGTGCCACAGGGCTCAATTCTTGCCCCAGTTTTATTTTCTATATTTATGCTACCGATGGGTGCTGTCTTTGAGAAATATGGAGTGTCCTTCCACCTATATGCGGATGATACTCAGCTGTGTTTTCCCTTGCAGCATAAAAGTAAAGAATTCTTATGACCTGAATTCTTTGGGTTGTCTAAACGCATTTCAAATATGGTTAAAGCAGAATCTTTTAGTGTTAAATGAGAACAAAACCAAATTCATTTTGTTTGGTTTAAAGTCATATGAAAACTGTGCCCTTCGTTTTGGTCATCTCTCTTCCTACTTTACACCCTGTGCTAAAGTCTCGGTGTTCTTTTTGATTGCAACCTGGGTTTTGAGAAACAAATTATTGCAGTGGTCAAATCCAGTTTCTTCCAATTACGGCGTTTATCAAAAATCAAATCTTTACTCTCTGTAAAACAGTTTAAACAGATTATTCACTTGTTTGTTCTATCTCGTTTAGATTACTGTAATTCACTATACTATGGTATAAGTCAGTCCTCTATAATGCGTTTACAGATGGTCCAAAATGCTGCTGCAAGGATGCTGACAGGCAGACGGAGGTTCGATCATGTCTCACCCATTCTTATTTCACTGAACTGGTTACCAGTCAAATTTAGTTTAAAATTTACCAGTTTAAAATTTTAACTTTTGTTTTTAAATCTCTTCATAATCAAGCCCCATCATATCTCTCTGAGGCAATCTCTATCCATAAACCAAATAGGTCCCTAAGATCCAGTAATCTTGGTCTCTTCTCTGTTCCTAGATCCAGGTACCATTGTAGAGGTGATCGAGCCTTCACTGTTGCCGGTCCTAGTCTATGGATAATTACCAGCTTCTATTAGAGCTGCGCCCTCTTTGCCAGTATTTAAATACCTGCTTAAAAAAACATCTTTTGTCAATAGCTTTTATCTAGCCATGTCAATTGTATTGTTATATTGTGTTTTGATGTTTTGTGGATTCTTATGTTTTATTTTTAGCTGTATTGTACAGCGCTTTGGATCAACTGGTAGTTGTGTGAAAGTCCTTTATAAAGAAAGAAAGAAAAATAGGATTAGCCCCACTGTAGGAAGGCAGGGAGGAAAATGGATACCATGAAGAATTCAATGATTCAATGATGATGAGTATGGAGAGGGGCAAGAGGTAGGGATCCCTTGGTGTGCAATTGCTGCAAACTCAGTCATCCTGATGGCAAGATCCTCTAGATCAGGGATTCAAGAGGGCCTGGTTTTCAATCAGTATGCCAGGTTTTTCAACAATTCCCCCTTGAGACCCTCAGGGTCTTGCACTCCCTGGCTGGCATTACTTCAGTTGGTCTGGTGTACATGTTCTGGAGGTCGCTGACTGTCCACTTCTTGGGAATTTTGAGGAAATATGTCATGTTCTCTTGACAGGCTTGCTCTTAGATTGCTTTATCTAGATATGTGAGTTTCTTGGATCTGTCTAAAAGTTTTTGGCTTTCTTTCTTAGAGATTCTTTTAGGAACATTAATTGGCACCGCTTTTTTACTTGCATTATTTTTTTTTACTTTTTAATGTGCTCACAAAAATTTGCATTAGTACATAGTACATCCTCAGAAAGAAATGCCCTAATGTCTCTTTCTATCTCTGTATTTGTCTTTTTTGTTTGTTATTTTCTCTACAAAGTCAGACATACCATCTGCACCCACAGACTGCCAGATGTCCACCTATGGTTGCTGCTATGATGGTGTGACGGCCGCTGGTGGTACTCATGGGGAGGGGTGCTCCAACCCCCCCAGCAATAGTAAGTCATAATATAATATGTCAGAGTGTTAGAAAAGTGTTGTAGTCGAGACCAGCTCATTTAAGTTGGAGCCAAGAGGAGGGTCGAGTCCAAAGGGACCAAGCCCATGAAAATATGTGACCCTGGACCACAAAACCAGTCATAAGGGTCAATTTTTTGAAATCGAGATTTATACATAACCTGAAAGCTGAAATAAATAAGCTTTCCATTGATGTATGTTTGTTAAGATAGGACAATATTTGTCCGAGATGCAACTATTCCAAAATCTGGAATCTGAGGGTGCAAAAAAATCTAAATATTGAGAAGTTGTCCAAATGAAGTTCTTAGCAATGCATATTACTAATAAAAAATTAAGTATAGATATATTTACAATAGGACATTTACAAAATATATTCATGGAACATGATCTTTACTTAATATCCTAATAATTTTGGCATAAAAGATAAATCTATAATTTTGACCAAGACCAATGTATTGTTGGCTATTGCTACAAATATACCCGTCATATTTAAGACTGGTTTTGTGGTCCAGAGTCACATATGTGCAAGACCAAGACAATGTAATTCTCAAGACTGAGTCCAAGATCAAATTTTCATGGTTTTGGTTTATCATGGACTTGGGAGCATGTGGAATCTGTCTTGATTCTGATGACACTGTTCAGGTCTCATGTTTGATTTGGACTCGAATCGGCTAGTCTCAACTACAATACTGGTATTTGAAGAAAGTTGTTGGCTATTCAAACTCTGTAGAACAGATTGCATATTGTCTCTTACCCCTCGGCTCCTCAGCACAGCGTTCTCGGTCCTGTGACCTACCCCATACGGTCGGGTCATGCGATAATTGGACATCCCGTTACTACTACGACCGCTCTGCCTCGCGCTGCATACATTTCTGGTATGGTGGCTGCCATGGCAATAGCAACAACTTTGCCTCGGAGGAGGAATGCCAGAGAATGTGCCTGAGATCCGAACTGAGCCAGCGGGACCAGGCGCATGTCTTGTCTTTGCAGCATGGTGGACGCCGCTTCCCCGCACAGATCCACCACAGCTCTAGTGGTGCGACCCACATGCACCGGGCTCACCGGCTGGACCCCAGTGCCATGCAGCAGAGCAGCCCCGCTGCCAGGTAAGTTTCTCCAACTTGCCCTGGATCGCTCTACTCCTCTCCCAGGCCCAAGCCCAAGCCCCTGCAAGTTCTCTTCTGCTGTTTGCCCTTCATGCCCTGCTGAAGAGCCAAGAGAGGAGTCGCAGGCCATGCACAGAGACTTACATAGGCGTGTTAAATGCATATGCTTTTTACAAAGGTAGCGATAGTGAGCATTGCTTCACTAACAGAGTTCTGCATATGTACACACAGGATCCAAAATTAACTTTTTGCCATGTTTGCCAATATTTCTTTCTGGCCGTAATAAAAAATATAATTTTGTCCTCATGATAATAGTATACACGGAACATCATATACAGGCTAGATTGGTTTCTCAGGAAAAATTTGCTTCTCAAAAGAACTTGATGAGGCTCCCCATAGACAATGCTAAAATTTCAACAGCTGATAGTGTTTGTATGTCTTTGATTGGAATTTTAGACTATCATTCATAAAGTTTAACCATTTGTGAGACTAACACTAGTTGTGATATATATTTTTTAAGTTCCCAAATAAGTTACTGGCCAACTAGCAAGTTTTAGTTAAATTTGGACCCTGTGTACACACTCTAAAACACAATTGCAATTTGAACGCAGCGTAATGCCATTTTCATGTATTATGATTTGCCTCACGCTTCTTAATCTTACTAATCTACTGCATCAGTATACACTCTGACACACACTCCATGTAGAAGTTCACTCCTCACTGTGAAGTATTGAACATTGCTGTGCTTTTGGGACTGGTTTATTTCCCCTGACGCAGACCGTTATCCTCTTCTTTCTGTTGCTTTAGTGTTTAGTTACTTTTAGTTTACTTCCCCCTCCCATACCCAGGTGTGTGTGAGGGACATGATTCATTACACCATGACTAATAAAAATCTGCCATGGGGTCCTAATCATCCCTGACTGTTTGTGTGTCTCTCCCAAGTCCTGTTCTTGCAATGTAGATGTAGTATGTGAAACAGATTGTTGTAGAGTAGAACACCTCACCTATGCACTTGCTGTGATTTCACCAAGTGTTCATGGATCAGTATCCATGGTGTTCCTAGAACAACATTCCAATCAACCCGTCAGATTTAAGGTTTAGAGTTGACATGCTTATCAACCAATTAACTTTCTTTAAATGTTCCAGGGCCAACAATATATGTTACATGATGGCTGCATTTTTTGATTTCAATATCCTAATACTAACACCCAGTCCTAAATAATCAAGAGTCAAGTAATAAATGGGATTTCTTCCATGGAACAAGGAATTCTGTTCATTATGTTTACGCCCTTGAAGGGCAATTCTAGCAGACAGTGCTATTCTTTCACAAAGGCTGTTGATGAAGTTGTCAAGTGGTACAAACAATAACCACTTTTAAAGAAGTAATTTTGTTGTTTCTGACCATCTCATCCTGAGAGGCTAAAACTTGATGCTACTTACTAAAGAATTTATCCAGGCCTGCCTAACCCTCATTTCCTCTAGTGTTTGTCATTGGGAAATATTTCTGATGAATATTCATGTTGTTTTAGACATACAGCAAGTAAGCAATATGAATGAAACAAGGCACAAAAGAAGTAATATTTGACCTAATGTTGCCAAAAAAACTTTTTGCTGTCAATTGTCTGTATAACTGAAATGTTCTTCCCTGCTTTGAGTAAGGAAAGAATATTTATGACATTGAAATTCACTGCTAGAACATGGTAACAAGCTGATCTGAGAAATGGCAATAGAGCACAGCAGTGATGATAAAGTCAATTAAACTGGAATTACTGAAATGCAAACTCCAGGTTTTGGCCCACAAAACTTTGTCATCCCTGCAGAACTCTGTGGTTGGTCCATAAGGGGAGTTCATACTTAGTAACCATCCAGTTTCTAACCTATTACGATCTTTCGTCTGAATAAGTCAGAAACTGGATGGTATTCTAGAGCTAGGTTCCTCTAGTTGAGTTCTCCTCTCCCTGTGGTCCATTGTGGGTGAATTGTCCGCATGTTGGGCTGGTGTTGTTCTTTTGGGATCCTGTATTCCAGCTGTAGCCGGTCAGGCTGATCTTTATGCTTGCTGTGGTGAGTGCAGCACATGCTTCGCTGTTCCCAGTAGTACAGCATAAAGTCATATGTCTTCTTTCTTTCTTTCTTTCTTTTCTTATGCATGTCTGTCTGTACCCCCTTCCCTTCTGTCTTTTCCCCTTTTTTCTCTGTTTCTGTACCTGTGTCTCTTTCCTCCTGCTGTCTGTTCTCCGTTTCTTCAGCTGGACAGCTGTAGGTGTGAGTATAGATAAGTCGGATCCCTCCACGGTGGAGGGGCTGGTTGGTCAGCAGGTAGTATTGCCCTGCAGGGTGAGTCCTCGGCCCTCCTCCACTGTGATCGTGGAGTGGAGACAGGATGGTGTCCCTGTTGACCCCGCCAGGTCAGTACCTGATGCACTTTATATCCTTCGATACACAATGTATGATATGGAAATATCAGTATTTTATCTCTTAATATTACTGTTTTTACTGTATTTTTGATCAAATTAATACAGTCTTGGTGAGCAGAAGAGACTTCTTTCAAAGGCATTAAAAATAAAAAAAAAATTATTTGCGTTATTATTCCAAACCTTTTACCTGTTGCATATACAGCGGGTAAAATAAGTATTGAACGCGTCACCATTTTTCTCAGTAAATATGTTTCTAAAGGTGCTGTTGACATGAAATGTTCACCAGATGTCGGTAACAACCCAAGTAATCCATACATACAAAGAAAACAAATCAAATAAAAGTAGAATGACACAGGGAAAAAGTATTGAACACATGAAGAAAAGGAGGTGCAAAAAGGCACGGAAAGCCAAAACACCAGCTGAAATCTATCAGTAATTAGAAAGCAATCCTGCCCCTCGTCAGTGGAAATTAATATTAGCTGCTTCAGTCCCAACACCTACAGTACCAGGATGATGAAGATTAAACAAGGGTGGACATTTCAGCAAGACAATGATCACAAACACAGCCAAGGAAACTCTCAGTTGATTTTAGAGAAAGAAAATAAAGCTGCTAGAATGGCCAGCCAATCACCAACTTGAATCCAATAGAAAATCAATTCAAAGAACTAAAGAGCAGAGTTCATAGAAGAGGCCCACAGAACCTTCAACATTTGAAGACTCTGTGGAACAAACACAGCCAAGGAAACTCTCAGTTGATTTCAGAGAAAGAAAATAAAGCTGCTAGAATGGCCAGCCAATCACCTGACTTGAATCCAATAGAAAATCAATGCAAAGAACTAAAGAGCAGAGTTCATAGAAGAGGCCCACAGAACCTTCAACATTTGAAGACTCTGTGGAAGAATGAGCCAAAATCCCTCCTGAGCAATGCATGCGACTAGTTTCTGCTACAGGAGGCGTCTCGAAGCTGTCATTACCAACACAGGCTTTTGTACAAAGTATTAAATACATTTCAGTACGTCATTCAGTGTCATTCTACTTTATTACACAGAACTTAATTTCTGAACTTATTTGTATTGTTTTCTTTGTATGTATGGATTACTTGGGTTGTTACCGACATCTGGTGAACATTTCATGTCAACAGCACCTTTAGAAATATATTTAGTGTAAATAAGCAAGTCATGTAAACCATGTTAACCCTAAATGTCATCAATAGTGATAATTATAATTGAATAGCAAGTAAATAAAGAAGTTGAGTGGCTGAGAAAAATAATGGATGTGTTCAGTACTTATTTTACCCGCTGTATATTGCAAGAATAATTAAAATAATATATATTGGGAAAATAATGACATTATGTAATTGTCTGCTTTATGATGGTATAATTTTGTTTTAATGAAAAAAATAAATAGTGTGAACTTACTCATTTTGTGTTCCAAAAAAAAAAAGTTATGTCATACAAGTTTGTAATGACACGTTGCTTTAGTCCAGCTCTTATTCTCATCCATAATTCATATTTTTAAAATGTCATTCTATTAGTGTAAATAAGCAAGTCATGTAAACCATGTTAACCCTAAATGTCATCAATAGTGATAATTATAATTGAATAGCAAGTAAATAAAGAAGTTGAGTGGCTGAGAAAAATAATGGATGTGTTCAGTACTTATTTTACCCGCTGTATATTGCAAGAATAATTAAAATAATATATATTGGGAAAATAATGACATTATGTAATTGTCTGCTTTATGATGGTATAATTTTGTTTTAATGAAAAAAAAAAAAAAATAGTGTGAACTTACTCATTTTGTGTTCCAAAAAAAAAAAGTTATGTCATACAAGTTTGTAATGACACGTTGCTTTAGTCCAGCTCTTATTCTCATCCATAATTCATATTTTTAAAATGTCATTCTATTTTTAATGATTCTGTTAGACTTACGTTAGACTCTTTTTCTCTTTGTGATTCCCAATGAATGTGATTGTAGCTTGACTTTGCCTAGCATATGTTAATTGGACTACAATTGTCTTTGATATTGAATGCGCACACTGAAATACATATTTTATCTTTCAAAATGAATCCGTTATATATTGTGATGTATACTTTGAGAGAGACGAAGCTCGACTGCACAAAAACCCTGTTGTTGTTTGATTATAGCTGTTGTACCTTGTGCGTGTAAACATACTTAGCAAGTGCACTTTTGGCTGAACTATGCCTTTAACGAGTCTTTGTTAGATTTGTTGATGAGTAATTGATCACTCAGGCATCAGCAGCAGTCGGACGGCTCTCTGTTGGCTGGTCCTATAACATTGCAGGATTCTGGCTGGTTTCTGTGTGTGGCTACAAGAGACCGTGACAGAGATCACCGCTACATTTACCTGTCTGTCTCAGGTTAGCGCTATCCAGTCTCTTTATTTACTTGCTATTCAATTGTACTTATCACTATTGATGACATTTAGGGTTTACGTGATTATTTACATGAGCAAAACACATTTTCTTTCAAATACAGGAGCATCTCAGAACGGTGGAGGAATATCAGAGACAGATTCTTCCCAGTCCTACACATCACATTCATCTTCCAGGTACAAGACATCCATCATTAAATGTTGGTGCAATTATGCAGCATATGTTCTCACTCGTTACTCACCGTGGCCTTCGCGTTTGTCAGGTTCAACATTGACTATTCGTCTCTGGTCGAGGCTCGAGCAGGTCAGACGGCCAAACTGCGGTGCGCGGTGCTGCCAGTCTCTTCCATGCATGCGGTGACCGTTCACTGGAGCAGAGCTGGAGAGCCGCTCAACTCGCTCAGGTGCCTTCATCTGCATGCGTTTCTGTGACTCTCTTTCAAACCCTAGTGAGCTGACTTGCTCTGTGCTGTCTACATAGGCGGCTCCCTTCTAGAGCTGCATCCTATGCACAGTGGAACCCTAAAAGTGTGATTGATTTGGAATGCACTAGATAAGCAGCAACTCTGTGTGCCATACAAATACCAAAGGAGACTCAAGCAAGACACTAAAAATACTGTTTGTTTGTTTTTTCATGCATCTGCCAATTATGAGATTTCAGGCTTTTTGGCTTTCCATTAAGCATTTTTAAAAAAAAGAAATTTCTCCAGACTAGTGGAAAGAAAACATCCAGAATACACTTTTAAGTGTTTTATCTGTTTGTCTGTAGATTTCAATTACAGTACATATTTTTAAAGGCTGTTTTCCCAAAATGAGCGTTTAGTTTTTTGCTCCTGCACTGAGCCAGAACTTTTTCTCTTTGTGATTCCCAATGAATGTGATTGTAGCTTGACTTTGCCTAGCATATGTTAATTGGACTACAATTGTCTTTGATATTGAATGCGCACACTGAAATACATATTTTATCTTTCAAAATGAATCCGTTATATATTGTGATGTATACTTTGAGAGAGACGAAGCTCGACTGCACAAAAACCCTGTTGTTGTTTGATTATAGCTGTTGTACCTTGTGCGTGTAAACATACTTAGCAAGTGCACTTTTGGCTGAACTATGCCTTTAACGAGTCTTTGTTAGATTTGTTGATGAGTAATTGATCACTCAGGCATCAGCAGCAGTCGGACGGCTCTCTGTTGGCTGGTCCTATAACATTGCAGGATTCTGGCTGGTTTCTGTGTGTGGCTACAAGAGACCGTGACAGAGATCACCGCTACATTTACCTGTCTGTCTCAGGTTAGCGCTATCCAGTCTCTTTATTTACTTGCTATTCAATTGTACTTATCACTATTGATGACATTTAGGGTTTACGTGATTATTTACATGAGCAAAACACATTTTCTTTCAAATACAGGAGCATCTCAGAACGGTGGAGGAATATCAGAGACAGATTCTTCCCAGTCCTACACATCACATTCATCTTCCAGGTACAAGACATCCATCATTAAATGTTGGTGCAATTATGCAGCATATGTTCTCACTCGTTACTCACCGTGGCCTTCGCGTTTGTCAGGTTCAACATTGACTATTCGTCTCTGGTCGAGGCTCGAGCAGGTCAGACGGCCAAACTGCGGTGCGCGGTGCTGCCAGTCTCTTCCATGCATGCGGTGACCGTTCACTGGAGCAGAGCTGGAGAGCCGCTCAACTCGCTCAGGTGCCTTCATCTGCATGCGTTTCTGTGACTCTCTTTCAAACCCTAGTGAGCTGACTTGCTCTGTGCTGTCTACATAGAGCTGCCCTTCTAGAGCTGCATCCTATGCACAGTGGAACCCTAAAAGTGTGATTGATTTGGAATGCACTAGATAAGCAGCAACTCTGTGTGCCATACAAATAGCAAAGGAGACTCAAGCAAGACACTAAAAATACTGTTTGTTTTGACTGGTTGCAATCGAGGGAAAGATTAATCCTGGACGAAAACCTTCTCCAGAGTGCTCAGGATCTCAGACTGGGCCGAAGGTTTACCTTCCACCAAGACAATGACCCTAAGCACACAGCTAACATAACGAAGGAGTGGCTTCACAACAAGTCTGTGACTGTTCTTGAATGGCCCAGCCAGAGCCCTGACTTAAACCCAATTGAGCATCTCTGGAGAGACCTAAAAATGGCTGTCCACCAACGTTTACCATCCAACCTGACAGAACTGGAGAGGATCTGCAAGGAGGAATGGCAGAGGATCCCCAAATCCAGGTGTGAAAAACTTGTTGCATCTTTCCCAAAAAGACTCATGGCTGTATTAGATCAAAAGGGTGCTTCTACTAAATACTGAGCAAAGGGTCTGAATACTTAGGACCATGTGATATTTCAGTTTTAATTTTTTAATAAATCTGCAAAAATGTCAACAATTGTGTTTTTCTGTCAATATGGGGTGCTGTGTGTACATTAATGAGGAAAAAAATTAACTTAAATGATTTTAGCAAATGGCTGCAATATGACAAAGAGTGAAAAATTTAAGGGGGTCTGAATACTTTCCGTACCCACTGTACATAAAGTATTTCAATTAAGGCTGCAATATTATAAGAAAAATCCATATGGTTGATTATTGCTCTTGATATTGTAATTAAAATGTTTTTTGGGGGGATAGCATGACACGTTCTGCCTACATAAAACAAGCCACGTTTAATAAAACCAAGACTTCACATTGGTTATTTTAAGAGCATCAAAAACAAAACATTTTTGGGAATAAATGATATACAGAAAGCGAGTAAAGAACGTTCCTCATCACTGAAGGGCTTCGTGAGTTCTGCGCTCTTGCGAAATCTCCTGTTATAATCTCTGTTTTCAGTGAATTCAGTCAGTGACGCACACTAAACATGTTTCGGTGACTAATCTCAATGCCTCTGATTGGCCGTTGCGTTCATAAGCTCAACAGAAACATGTGATTGGTTATAATGCTCAACATTTCAAAAAAAAAAAAGGTGTACAAAGTGTGACGCAATGTGAGCAGCTCTAAATATAATGCTGTGAATTGACACTTTTTATTCATTTTTACATTTCACTTTAATCTCCACAGCTGCAATAGACTGCAATGCATTTTTTTGCCCTTAGCCTTTTGTTAATTTCTGACTCTGGACAGCACACCAAATTAGTTTGCCTCCCCCCATGATAATGTGATGACATGCGCTTGTGAATGCATTTTGATGTGTCTGACTGCATCTGCAGATTTCAGTGGGAGTCAGGGGCTGTCGCCGGACTGCGTGGATCAGCCTGAACTGGCGAACTGTAAGCTGATTGTGTACGCACGTCTGTGCTCCAGCCAGTATTACTCCAGTTTCTGCTGCGCCAGCTGTGCCAGGTATGCCAGGGACAAAGATAGACCCGGACAAACCAGATAGATCATGTGCAATGAATCCCGCTGCCTCATTGGTCGATTCAGACTGACATTCACCTGCCGTGTACAGAGACTCACCTCATGATTGAATATCAGCATCACCTGCTGCTTCCACTCCACATCAACGCTGACCTCAGGCATTCAGTATTCCCGGCCCATTCAGATCAGAGCTTATTTATCTTTGTGTGTCATCTCAATGTCTGTCAGTTTGGATTATTAACAAGTATTTGACACTGTAATACAAGAGCTGTCTTTATTGTGCTGTTGTTGTAACATGTATTAGGATATACTTGCAGTTTAAACAAAACTGATTCCACAATTAGGAAACGCTTTCATGTATTTTGAATATGTAGACTGCAGTGATGCACCGAAATTCAGGCAACCGAAAACCGTTTTGGAGGGCCGAAATCATTGACGTTGAATTAGTGCTTCTCTGATGGAATTGCAGTAAGCTTTATGCTTTAATTGTTACTTTTGATATGAAACTGTCTCAACTTTCAAACTCTTGTCAATTTTATAATGAAATTTAAACAATAAATGCAGTTTTGCTGCTCGTTAATGTGTTTTGACAGATCGCTGTAGCACTTAATTTCAAATGACACGTGAACCAATCATCTCTTTCTCTTTACTACTTGCTATAGCACCAAATAAACATGAATGAACATCAGAAGAAACCATACAACTCACTGAATTGAATCACGTCTCGTAATCACTCAGTCAGCATTTCAACTGCATAGAAAAATCAATAAAACAGCTTGTAAAGAGCATGTCATGTAATGTTTATATCATGAAAGACATTCAGTGTCCATAATTTGTTTGTTAGGTAGCTAGAAAAATGAACTCTTGAGAGGATCATTGTGCTAAATAAATGCACTATATTACATGTTCATTATATTTTTACTTTCTTATTACCGACACCATTGAAATGTTTATTCTTTAACAATGAACTGAACTACAAACTAAATGTATTACTAAAAGGTTGATATGAAACGTGCCTTGAATAACTGTTCAATTAACAGTTTTTGAGTGTTAGTAAATACATTTGATTAATTAATTGAGTATTAAACTTATCTTTGCCGTTTTGGGCTAAATGGGAAAACTAATTTTGCTTTCAATGTTTCAGTAAGACATTAATTTCGGTGCATCATTAGTAGATTCATTTTTGTAAGTGAAATGCACAGTAATGCATATATTAGTATGTTCTAGTATTAATGCCATGTATCAAATAAACTGGTTATGGCACAGAAACCAGTAAATACCACAGAAGGAACATTTTCACGTAACAAACACTTTCCCTGATTGGTTGGTCTAGCTTTGTGCTGCTGACACACTACGAGGACATGAAATCCTCTGCTCATCTAGTTAGAGACACACAGATTTCTTTTGGTCCAGTATGAAGGAATGTCTCGACAGATAGAGCTGGAATTGGCAGGGTTTCCAGCGCAGCTGTTCTCAGACCCATCGATAGCTCATTAACTTGTGTGTTGATAATTTTTCTATTTAATACCCATCATAACTCTGTTGAATGAAGAAATAAACATTTACACATTGTAAACATGATTATGTGTGGCAACGTATACTTTAAAAAAGCAAGATGTTCTGTTGAAGTATGTGACACTTCATGTTTCTTTAACTCTTGTGGTTCAGATGCAAAGAAGCAGGAGGGTTTCTGTATTTGTTTATCAGGTGTTCAGGTCTTCCTCAGCTAACAGGGAACGTTCCCACGACTTCCATTAATGTTTTTTCAAAGGAGTGTAAAGGTTATGACAGAACATTCTTAAAATAATGTTTATAGGATGTTCTAATAATAACTGGTTATGGCACAGAAACCAGTAAATACCACAGAAGGAACATTTTCACGTAACAAACACTTTCCCTGATTGGTTGGTCTAGCTTTGTGCTGCTGACACACTACGAGGACATGAAATCCTCTGCTCATCTAGTTAGAGACACACAGATTTCTTTTGGTCCAGTATGAAGGAATGTCTCGACAGATAGAGCTGGAATTGGCAGGGTTTCCAGCGCAGCTGTTCTCAGACCCATCGATAGCTCATTAACTTGTGTGTTGATAATTTTTCTATTTAATACCCATCATAACTCTGTTGAATGAAGAAATAAACATTTACACATTGTAAACATGATTATGTGTGGCAACGTATACTTTAAAAAAGCAAGATGTTCTGTTGAAGTATGTGACACTTCATGTTTCTTTAACTCTTGTGGTTCAGATGCAAAGAAGCAGGAGGGTTTCTGTATTTGTTTATCAGGTGTTCAGGTCTTCCTCAGCTAACAGGGAACGTTCCCACGACTTCCATTAATGTTTTTTCAAAGGAGTGTAAAGGTTATGACAGAACATTCTTAAAATAATGTTTATAACGGTATTAATGGTTGATTTAGGCTACGTTCGCATAATGTTAAGAGAAAACGTTCTAAGAATCTTGGGAGGACAGGTTCTTTAAACATTTTTCTCAGAAAGTCCTTTAGTGTTCTGCGTGGTATGTTCCCAGCTAAGGGAGAACATTCATAAAGGTTTTTTAAAGGTTACGTGAATGTTAAATAAAACATTCTTAAAATAATGTTTATGGAACGTTCTTATAACACTATTAATATTAAATATATGTTCTAATGTTGAGAAACATTCTTTAAACAATGTTCTAAGAACATCATTATGACGCTATGAATATTTGCTATAGGTTTTTATAATCATTGTGACAATAATGTTCATGGACCATTGATTTGATGTTATTCATTTTTGATAGCCTAAATGTCCTTAGAATTATACTGAGGAACAGTTTATGAAAAATTATTACTAGATAGTCCTTTTAAAATGAATGTTTGGCTTATATATTTGATTAAAATAGTAATACTTAAAAGAAGACAAGAATTTATAGGCTACGGAATGAGAGAGGTGAACAAACCATGAGCCAGGACTTGAACACGGGTCACCTGAGACGGTGTTGTGCACACCAATCTCTTACACTGAACCTAGCGTGAACCTCTCAGAACGTTTGATCTGAGCTACAATAAGAGGTGGTTCACACAGAAAGCGTCTTTGCGTCTAGTAACACGAGATACAGCGCTCTGGTATAGTTTGAAAAAGCGCAGCGCAAGACGTGAGGGAATAATGGCAATAACAGAAATGGCCTTGTCAACTTGCTACTGTAAACAAAAGCTTGCAATGCTTGCCCGGGGTGTCCTGATTGGTTCATTGCTGTGAAACTGACATTGATGAGCTGCGCTGCTTGTAAAAGTTTAGATTGTTTTGACATGGCGCCCCAGCTAACAGAGAATGTTCTCCTAACTTTGGCTAATGTTCTCTAAAGAGGTCAGAACTGTCTGTCTGTCACTGCCCCAAGAGTGCCGCCTACT